CTAAGCAAGATTTGGTCCCAGGGTGAATTACAGAGCATGGGATAATAGAAGGAAACTCTACCAACTTCATAGTAGTAGAGCCCTTTGCTTTGGACAAATAGGCATGTAATGAAGCAACATCAACTGGAGAGCCTCTACAGCAATCCTTAACAGCTTTGTAGACTGGTGCTGCAACAGGCCCAGTCTTCTGAATGAAATCTCTATATGCTTTTGGAAGGCTCTCAGGACGCATTATGAAGCAATACATAACCTGCAAAACATTTTTTTAAGAACGAAGATAGATATATAACTACTTTGTCCAGATGTAAAAGAGAACGAGTTATCTAGTATCATTAGTATGATAGTATCGTATGAGAAGTTCAATCCCCTTGCACATTTGAATTATTATTATTTTTTTTTTAAAAAAAGGAGAAAGAACAGAAGAAGAAGTTTAATCTCCTAGGGTTTAAACTTGGATATTTTGACATTTATGATATTCCAGCCACCCCCTTCCAACCACCAAATTGTGGGCAAGTACAAGGAATTAAAACATGGATGGAAAAGGCTCTTAAACATTCGCCAAAAAGGTTAAGCAACACGAGAACTACCTGGGCACATGCCAATGCAAAGAGTAAAGAATCCCCATGACTCCAGTGACTTCCCCAGAGATGAAACCGGTTCTTGGATTTGGCAGAATTATACGCACACTGACAATTGTAAAGTCATCAGAACACAAGCCAGTAGAAAAACAGAAAAGAAAAACTTCAAGTAAGCTGGTACTGGTGACTTTGTTTTTAGCAGGTAAATCTAATACTGGCCGTTTTTATCTTTATCCTTTGTTTTTTTTGGGTAGTTCTTTCGTTCCTTTTTTTCTGTTTCGCCTGGGGGTGTGGGGAAGGGGAATAGCCAAAGCATGGTTGTACCTGTGATAGCCTTGCCAGAAGATACAAGGCAAGAGTCCGCCGCCTGTTGGAATCATCTAATGCTAAAATAGACAGACCTGCCACTGAACCTGCTAAAATTCTGCCCATCATCCCCTTTAGCCAAGTCAAATATATCGGATAGGATATCAACTATCAAAAGCTTCTCAAAGCAAAACCACAGAAATGTAAGTCAAAACTTTTAAGTTGAGAATTCAGCATTTTGTACTTACGCATTTAAGGGTGTCTCTTTTCTTCTCAGCTTTCTTAGCAAGCATCTTAGAGCATGATATGAACCACTAAATCCCCCAAAGAGCAAACCAATTCGACATGCTTCCTCTCTTACAATTAGGTCTTTTTCGGACACAAGTTGCTGCAAAAACATAAGGATTCAAACAAGCGCAGAAAAAAATGAACTCTCCCATGTATTCATAGATGAGACCAAGGACGGACGAACAGATGAACAGACAGAAATCAGCACACATGTCCACTGAAATTGAAATATCCTCTTCCAGAAAATCTTTTTTTATATTCTCTTTTGCTTCTTCCCAGAGGATTTGAGGGTTGTGCATAGGGTCAAAGATCTGAATAACCTCCATTCATCCTTTATGCTACAGTTGAGATTGCTAAATTATTTCACTGAACTTCAAGAGGTTCACAACTCCAAGAAAACTTATCAAGAGGAAAATACCAAGGTGAAACAAATTTAAACCATTAAAAGGTCAAAAGTTCCATCCCCTTCAAACTTCCATTCCTTACAAATTGCAGTAATATAAGTATTTCTTAAGAATACACCCTGAATGATTAGATCATAATATGTTCATTTCTTAAAACAATTGTGGAGAGCAGAGCACAAAGTGTACTCTATCAGCATGTCACCACTAGGGAGTAAATTAATTGACGTTGAGCTACAAGAAAAAGGAACAAACAGTGGGACAGAGGGAAAATTGGCTTTACAAAGTGTTTGGGAGAAAACCCCACATGGTTTGCCCTTACTAAAAGAGCAGACTTTTATCCAAAAAAATAAAAAGAGAAGGGAAGAGAGAGACAGGAAAGTAACACATGCGTAAAGTTTTATGTACGACTTTTGACATCAGCTGACTGTTCAAATGGTGTTGAGATACACTCATGCAGGCAAAATGCATGACGCACAGGAGCATGCAACACACACTCACACAAAGAGGGAGAGCGAGTAGCGTTAGCTCAGTAATCTTTGATTGACTAAATATCCTTATGGCCAAGCATTTTCGTAACCCACATGTCCCAGTAGCAAATGAAATCATGGAAACACAATACATACACTGCAGAACATAAACCCCTTGGAGTGTAATCACCATTACAATGGTACTCCAAGGTACTAAAAGGACCAAGATATCCTATCTTGGAATTGATAACCATTCCATCAGCATATCAATCTATCAGCTAAGGCTCAATGCCTCAATCTGAAGATATCGAGTGACTCATATCCATTCAATCTATCCAGAATTGCAATCAATATTCTTCAAGTGAGGAAATCTAAAAAATCATTTAGAACACAAAGCTAACAAGGATGTGGGTGCTTCTAGGCCAAAATGCCCCTTCTCTTGCAATCACAGGAATGCTGCTATGAATCATATCATGTATAACATCTGTGCAAAATTATTTCATCCTAGTTTCATCAAAACTTAAGCAATTTCAAAAAGAAAATACAAATCTTAAAACTGATTTCATCAGAACTGAAGCAATTTTGAAAAAAGAAAATTCTGATCTTGAAACTATACTTATACAGGAATATCTTTCTAATAAAGAAAATTTATTCAACATCATGATCTCCTCAAAACCAAAGTAGATGTATCAGGAACTAAAATGGAGCAAGCTTTAGTTCAAACAAAGGCAAGCATTCAACAAAAGTACGAAACTGAAAAACTAAAGGAGTAACTGTCAGTTCAAAAGATTTTAGTCTATTAAAATAGATTGTCCAACCGATGACAGGAACATTTTGTAAATGTAACCTAGCTGAGATCAGTCTAAAGGGGAAAAGAATGTAAAACTAAAAAAATCATAAATCAAATTAATGATAAGTTAATCTAACTTACATAATTAAACAAATGCTTAAGTAGATAGGCGAGTTTCAGAATTTTGGAACCTTGAGATCGAGTAGAGAGGAATAGGACTGGCGACGAGCTAGCTTAAAAGCACGGAGGAGAATTCCGATGCCAACGCGCACACCGTAAGAGAGAAGAAAACTTTGGCAAACGTTACCAATTGCGTTAGCAACACATGATTCATCGGCATGGTCACAGGGCGGGTAGATACCCCTGGCACGACGTTGCCGGCGCTGAAGCTCTTCAATTGCCTCTCTTAAGCGCTCCTCCGCCTCATGAAGACGGCGCTCGGCGGAGTCACCGCTTTCAGAAGCGTCGTTAGGTAAAACCGGCGGCGAAGAAGAGGACAGAGGACGCATTTTGCAGAGAAGGCGATCGATGAGGGGTCTCGCATCTGATATGGGAGAAAAAGGAGATGATTTCGGGTAATAACTTTGAAAGATGTGCAGCGATTAGCCATTTTTGAATTTGATGATGTAATAATTCCAATTATTGTTTTAAATCCTAGAAAATATGATTTATATATTTGTTTATTTTTCATCTATCAAATATACATGGATCAAAATTGTCATTTTAAATGAACTAATTCTTTTTAAAAAAAAATTAGTAAATTGGATTTTACATGAACTAATTTTGTTTACAAGCTCACGTTAATCAATAAAATTATGTTATTAGTTGTTGTATCTTATTTATCTTTTTTACGAATAATTTGTTAGTTTAGGTTCTTTTTTATAGCTTTATTTATTTCATCATGATAAAAAAATTTATTGTTGATATTAATAAAAAATTAAATATAATATTTACTTATTTTTTCAAAATATAATCTTATGAAAAATTCGATTCAGTTTTAATATAGAAAATGTAAAACTCAATAAACAATAAAGTTTAATTGATAATTTTGATAGAAATAGTATGAACTAAAATTTTAAGCGATGAATTAAATATGTATTTCTTATATTATGGGGATAATTAAATGGTTATTTTATCTAGTATAAAACTAAAATTTGATGTATAAGCAAAGCAAAAGATTTTTCTAAGGTCCTTCACGCTAATAGATTATAATTTTTTTTTTATAAACAATTAATTACTTTGAATAGACAACTATACTAATGACAAAAATATATGGAGCACAGAAGATTGTATCTTATAAAGAAAATTAAATAATAATTTGAGAAAATTAATAACTCGTAATTTTGTTTATCTTGTTAAAATTAAAAAATGTACACATTTAATTTTAAATATAAAATAATCAGCTAACATGTCACAAATGAGTTTCATGATTTTATACTATTCCTTTCATTTATTTGTTCTACTTTCTTCTTAATTTTCACCTCTGACTTCCGTAGGGATGGAGGTAGTAGCTCACATGTGAATTTGGTCGAATTCAATATATTTTTGTTAATAAATTCATTATATATGTACAAATATTGGATTTAGACCTAGTTTTATCACTAAAAATCGTCCTTGTAAAATTCAAATCCCATTAAATTGAAATTCTAATTTCGCTTCTGATTGTCTTTTTTTTTTCTTTAATTAATTTAGAGCTTGTTGCTTTTCACTTATAAGTCACTTATAACTTTTGGCTTATTTTAATCCTTTTTTACTTAAAAATAAGTCCTTGTAAATATTTTTTACATTTACCCAAATATTTCAAAAGTGCTTAAAAGCTATTTTTATCTTAAAACACTTTAAAATAAGCTAATTCAAACCGTCTCTTTAATTTGAACATTCAAGTTACTTTATTTTTAGATCCGGCTATTCATGTCATGAAAGGGTATATTAATTAGGAAGCACGTAGAATATTTATCATTTAAATAAGTTTTGTTATAAAAATATCTATATAAAGGAGACCAGTGTAATATTTCAAATTATCATGAGATCAGTGTTATCAAGACAAATCTAAAGAGAGATTTTTGAAACTATTTCAATATTTAAATGTGGCATCCAAATATAACATATTTGTGGTATATAATTAGGCAATCATGGTGTTTGACAATACAATACAAGTCAATTAGTCTCATTTTTTGCTCTGTTGCTTGGAATCACCATTAGTAGAAGATTGATCTTGCCACGATGCTTGCCATTGCTTGTCATAAAATGTAGCTTCATCAGCCAGCTTCTTTAATTTATCAATATCTGTCCTTTTCCTAAACAAAATTACACCTCCAACTGTTACCAAAAGAGCAGTTTTACACAAGAAATTTCCCATTTGGCCTACCACGTCAAGTCCCGTTAGTACATCCACTAGATACGCCATGAAAAATCCCACCATTGCTGCTCTTCCTGCAAACTCATAACCGCACTCTATTAGTACCATCTCAGGTTATGTAACACTATTTCCTTGTTAATATTGAAACACAAATGTTATCAAAAGTTCATTTTTTTTTTACTTAACTTTGTACTGAATCAAACTATGTCATATAAATTGAAACGGAAGGAGTACAATCTTGTGTACTTTTTCTAGATAAATACAAACCATTTAGCAGCTCAGCTTCAGGGAGGTGAGAATGCATCATCCATGCCCACCATGGTATGATAGAACTTCTAAAAACCACAGGTTGTTGATTTGTTGCTGCTTCTGGGAACAGTTCAAGAAATTTCCTCCTCTTTGCTTCTGCAACGTACATATCGTTAATTAATGAATAAATTAATTCACTTAAAAAATCGCGGTGCTTTAGTAATTGAAAGACTTTGTTCTTTGTTTTACCTGCTACTATGACAGCATCCCAATCTATTTTGCCATTTTTGACAAACATATTTAGATCCCATGTCCCATTCTTCCATCGCTTATCCGAAAACCTAATTAGATCTTCAGACTCTGATGAACCTGTAGTATTACCACCTTGTACTTCATCATCATCATTCCTTGTGGTCTTTGCATTATCATCAATCAGCAAAGACGATTTATCTTTGATTTCAACAACATTTAAGTGTGTTTGTTCTTCGACTTTTGGAGTCATAACGTTTGTAATCTTCATCGACTTGGCTTGACGAGACCATTGTTTCTTCTTGAAGTGATGGGAGGTGCAAGGTGTATGTGTAAAGGAAGTAATGGCAAAAGCAGCCATGATTGTATAAGTATTTTCTCTGGTTTGGCTCAAATTACTGATCTTCTCCTCTTGAATGAGATGGTGATAGGATAAGATGCAAAAAGGCCCATTCTGAAATAAATAAAGCTTATCCGCTTCTGCAACTTTTTTCTGCAATATCAGGGGCATGGCAGCCCATGTCTAATCCCTGACCAGATTTGCTTTCACTTTTGGTGACTATTTTTAAGAATATAACAAGAGCAGGGTGTTTTATTTAGAAATATATTTTTGACTGATTTTAGAGTCGCCACTTAATTTTTAAAGAAAAATCAAGAAAACTATTTTTTTTTCAAAAAGATTAAAACAGAAAATCTAATGAAAAATAATAAAGGGGGTTCGAGGCTCATATTAGCATTTCGGGAAGGATTTGAAAGCACCCGAAATGTCCGCTAACATGGGATTATTCGGTGATTAACTATTTGGCTAATGTTTTAAAAGGTGAGCCTACTTTATATAAGTTGAAAAATTTAACAAATTTTTAAAGGTTTAAGTTATCTTAATGGAAAAAAGGGGGAAAATATTAAAATACATTACTTAAGTAAAATATTGTTATATATATTTTTTAGTTGAGGTTAAAATGAATGTTTACTTAATTTGGAAAAAAGAAAGATTAATTCGGGTTGGCTATCTTTAGGGAATTTGAATTGTGATGACCTTAAAATTATTTAAAAGACAAGTATGCAAATAATAACAAGTAAGCGAATGTAAGACGTAAGTAATAAAAGATGGGCCCAAGTCTGATTTTCCTGTTCGCCTGAGCCAGTATTTGGGCCAATTTTCGTTTTGGGCCTTCAGCCCATCAGAGTCACTTGTACCTGTCCTAAACTAACAAAAAAAAATCATCTCTTATGGACTTTAGGCCCAAATTTTACCTGTCCTAAAAACTAACACAATAATAATAAATGATGACAAAGGGGGGCTTAGACCCAAAATAACAAAATACAACTCGGGGTAAAGAGACAGGCTTTTGGGAGCCTCGTTCTATTTCAATATACAATATATACACTTAATGCATATTATTGTATATTCTTGATGTATCAACTTCCAATTCCTGTTCGTCAAATTTTGAGGGACCTATTCTTCAAATTTGCTTGTCGGCTGACTCAAGGATAAAGGAGTTTAGGCCTTCGTGGCCCAAATGACATGCAAAGGGAGGAGGAGGGAGTTCACGATGAACTCGGGCGGATTTTACATAAATAAGAATAAAAATAAGAATTAGTATTGTGTCATGGCCATAACCAAAGTATAAAAAGAATAAAAATAAAAGAACACAAACACTGTGATATCTCATGTTCGGAATGTAACTACTCAACAATCGAAATTCAAGATGCGCCCAATTAACTCATTTTTCTCGGGTAGACAAAATACATTAATTCTAATTCATGAACTTTCCCAGACTCAATTATTATTAAGAGAAAATTTTTAGCATACTCAGAAGAATAAATAACAGAAAGACCCAATTCCTCTTTTTAAATTAATTGACAAACTTTAACTCCAAGCAAAAGCCTAAGTGATCAATTCAACTACAAAGGTAAATTAATCAATCAAGGAAACAAATTCCCTATTAGTGAACTAGTTATTGTTTTAACATTAAGGTAACATCCCTTCAGCGACACATATACTATACTGCCAAATAAATAAAAATGAAATAAAATAATGATAATAATAATAATAGGCCAGCTAGTAAATGATACTAAAATTAAAAGCAAAGTCTTAAATTCCTTCACATTTAGATAGAATACCACAACTATATAAAGACTATTTTGAAATCGAAACCTCTTGACTCTAACTGACCGTGCTGTTGGAGACAAATTCTTAAGTGAAAACTAACATGCTACTTTGAAAACAAATGAGCATATGAACAACCACGGTCAGCAGAGCGACAAGAAACTAGGCTGATTCAAGACATAGAACAACCAAACTCTCGCCTACTAGCATGTTAGAAAACAAAAAAAAGGGTAAACAACGCGGGGGAAAAATAATTCAGGTTGTTCATTACCGCTCACATGATTCATGCAAACTAGAGTGACAAATAAATAAAATACAGGTGCATTTTCACATATCATAAAACCACAAATTTGCAGCCAACAAATAAGATTAACAATGACATGATACAAACAAATAGGAAAGAAACCACACGGAGTCGTCGACACTCATAGTAGAACACGTTAAAAGCAACACTAAGATGAGCAGAGCGAGGCCACTTCAAAGTGAATAACATGTCAAAAAAAAAAATTCTAAATTTCCAGCACTCAAACAACTTGTCATGATCAAGCAATGAACAAGCCAACACATTAGCAAACAAAATGAGTCATAAGTGGGAATAAAAGTTACCTTTTTTGGGCAGCGACCAGGACAACGAGCTTGAACTATGAAGCTTTCTCCACCGAAGTTAGATGTGGACAGCAAACAGAGAACCTAAATAACGATTCGAATTCGAGCCAACTTAGGGAGAACGATGACAACCGAGCAAGAAGAATGAGATTCTAAAGGAACTAACTCACACTTCCCTTTTCGAATGTGTTTCTATATGTCTTTTCCACTGCTTACTCGAGCTATTCTCTACACATTAAAAAAAATTTCAACTCCCAAAAAAGAATCCCCCCTTTCACAGTGAACATTAAGCAAATATATAGAGGGAGAATAGGGTTCGGAATGGGGCGAAAAAGGATCCAAAATCGGATAGAAAGGGCTCATTTTGAAATTCAAACTCCATCAATTATTTCACCATTTAAGGGAAACACCTTTTTTCTTGCAATTTTGACTCTTTTCTGAAGAGGAAAGGGGGGGAGACGACTAGGATCAATTTCATCGTCCTTGGGGAGCAACGTGGCTCGATCCCATAGCCCCAAGGACTGAGACGGGATTGATTTTTGCCGTTGTTGTCGCTGTGATATTGCTGTTTGGACATCTCTGTTTGGTTGGCAAAATTCTTTGATGTTTACGTGGGAAAGAAGGGATGTCTCTGGGTTTCTTTGGAGTTGGAATGGGTTGGGTTGGGTCGGGTCTGCAGAGGTGATAATGGAGGGGACTGTTGTTTATGTTGAAGAATGGGGCTTCTTTTGGATGAAAGTTGGGCTGGGAATTGTGGAATTTAAGCTCGGTAGTGGGCTGCTAAAGTTGGAAAAAGATTGTAAAATGGTAGGTTGTTGGAAATTTGGAAAAAAGAAAAGGGCCCAAAATTGGCTTTCTCTAGATAGTTGAAATAAGTTGATTAGGTATATAACCTCAAATAAAATTCAATTGTAGTCAAATCAAAATTTAATGAATTTGGTTAAAACTTGACCAAGACGAGTTAATACAAATTAATTAGCGAGCTTCTTAATTTCAACGAAATAAGATAGTTAACTCAAATATAAACTAAATAATATAAACTATTATATAACTAAACTAATTAACCAAAATATATATTTTTTAGATGACTTTCGAATAATCATAAAATATATTAATTATATATATAATTATGTAAAACATATATATTATCTAAAAATCATAAAAAGTGATAACAACTATCTTAAAATAACTTGCAAACTATATTATTATTATTTTTAAAAATTTTTTATAAAAACTATTTATCTTAAATCGTTTAACATTGTAGAAGCTCGATGATCAATCTATGTTGGGGAGGGTCAAAATTGGGTGTCAACAACTGTCCCTCGTTTTACTCGAATTGATGCAAGAAATTTGAGGAAAATGAAATTGACTAATCCAATTTTGACCGACCACGTCTTCATCTTTTGGAGAAGGGATTTGGTACGGACTTTAGGAATTATGGCCGAATCCCGGAAGTGGGTCTTCTACATATCTCAGGTTATATGAGAATTCAAGCCACTTGTAGTTCGATATGCTTGATTTGACGCACGATTTTGAAAGAATTCGTAAGTTGTCCCGATATCGAATTATGAAGAGATCGGAATGCTCGGGAATAAGATTTGAGAGTGAATGTTGGAACACAACCGAGTTTTCAGCATTGATTCCGCCTACATATTCCTCAACTTAGGAAATCAGGCTGCTTGTAGTTCGACTCGATCGGTTGAAAAGGGAACCTATTATGCAAGATAACCTTTGGTTCTGAAAAAATGACAAAGTAAGTCGAGTATGAAAAGGAGGCTTGCAACCTCTTAGCCATGAATGTGGCGCGCTTCACACCCATAAATAAGAACTTACACGGACATAATTTCCAAGGCTCTTGGTGTATTGTCACTCAGATTGGAAAGTTGCTTCCGATAGAGACCCAAAAAATTTTCGAATGCAAAACTGAAACCGACAAACCCACATGCCTTCTGATAGGGGTGTGGTTTGATTGTGGTGGAAGCCGCTCCTCTGCTCGTGTCCTAAGAGTTTGGCATTTCTCTTTAGACTATGTCCCAGTTCGCTGCTAAGAAAAAGTTTCACGTTGTACTGCATCCTTTTTGATGTCGTCTGTACCTGTGGTTTGTTTTGGAGAATTCATTCTTTTGGATGCTCTCGACAAAGACTGAGATAAAACTCATTAGCATAAAAATGCAATTCAAATGGGAGACAACGTCTTTTACCGTGTTGACACTTAATTGTTCCCCTTGAACATTTGACGTCAACTCTATCGGGTTTGACGTGAAGCAAATAAAGCTTGTATCTCATATTTACAACATAATCTTTAACGTACTCGTCATTTGATGTCAAAGTAATAAAATAGGCTTATGTAATATGTTGACAGTTCTTTTGATGTCGTTGTTGCAAAGAAAAATGATGCATTGATGTTGATTCTCTTGCGATGGCCAAATCTTTCTCTTGCGATGCATAACTCTTTCGCGATGCATGAATCTTCTCTTGCAATGTATGAATCCTTTTCCCGTGATACATGAATCTTCTCTTGCTATGCATGACTTCTTCGCGATGCATGACTTCTTTTTCTTGCTATGCATGACTTCTCCGAGATGCATGACCTTTTTCTCTTGCAATGCATGACTCTTTTTCTCGCGATGCATGAATCTCTTTCTC